AATATAAATATAGAAAGCACTGGTTCGCACCATTGCCCTCTGTTTACATTCGTAAACATCAAGTCGTAAGGTATCAAGAATTTATCGCAAGATACTGGCCGTTCAGTACATACACAGGCATTAGGTCGGAGAATTGCGCGAAAGTTACAAAACAACATATTGGTTCTCGATTATATCTTTTGTAACAATATAAACACTAGATATAACACAGAAAAAGGTAAGGCTGAGAGAAATATTTTACAAAAATCCGACATGAAAATATAACTAACTTTCAATATAATTTGATGTACGAATTCTGATATCTAGAATGGCTCCGAGGACCCAAATCAGTTGTAAAAAAAGAGCACAAGTCATCATTTTGTATAAGTAGGGCTACTTCAATTACCAAATTGCTACAATTGTTCAAATTAGTGAGAAGGGAGTCCGCACGGCGATTAAAAGGTTTTCCGAAACAGATGTAAACACTAACAGACAACAATCAGGCAGGCCAAAAGTGACTTCTGAGCGAGAAAATAAGTTTATAGCAATAACAAGTAAACGCCTTCGTACGTTGACAGCCCCAGATATAAGAGCGGAGCTCAATACATCACGCGACAACATAGTTTCGGTGACAACTGTTCAACGCCGCCTGAGACAGATATGACTCTCAGGCTGTGTGGCGATCAGGAAGCCTTTTCTCCGGATAGTAAATAAAGTAAAAAGGCTGAACTAGGCAAAGGAACATCGTAATTGGACAGAAGATGACTGGAAGAACGTTCTTTGGTCGGACGAGAGCAAGTTTGAGCTCTTTGGATGTAAGCGTCGTGTGTTTGTAAGAAAACGCCCCACTAAGAAAATGCTCCCACAGTGCATTCAGCCCACAGTTAATCATGGAGGCGGATCTGTTATGGTTTAGGGATGCTTCGCAGGTGATACTATAAGTGATCTAGTTAAAATCGAGAGCTATCACAAGATATTAATGCACCATGCTGTGGTTTCTGGAAAGCACCTTGTAAGTAAGGGCATTGTGTTTCAACAGGACAATGATCCTAAGCATACGTTAAAATTGTGTCGAGGATACCTCGTAAACCAGAGGTTACCAAGAAAAGCTCAAAATACTAACAAAATGGTCTGGCCTCCTTCATCGCCAGACCTAAATCCAACAGAACTTTTGTGGGATGAGTTAGATGAGGCGCATTCGAATGTTCCGACTAAAGAATGAAACAACACTCTTTGAGGCTTTAAAAAGTGCTTGGGAGACTATTCCAACAGAAACACTACTTAAACTAATAAAAAGAATGCCAAAAATTTGTGCTGCTGTGATAGAAGTACGAGGAGGATATACTATATTAATGAAAATAAGCTATGACTGTGCTAAAACATAAAAATTAGTTTACCACAAAATATTTATTTTTGTTATATGTTTTTCTTAGAGAAAAGTTTAAATTATGTTCAAATGTAATCTCTAGGTGCAATAAATTTTCTGTACATTATATATTTTTGTCTTTTTTATGGATTATAGCCGTTTTATACCAGTGCGTCCAAACTTTTGACCGGTACTGTATGTATCAGATTCTGCCAATAAGATAAACTGAACGGTATTTTGAAGAAAAAAATGTATATATATATATATATATAAATATAAATACAAATAATCAAGAACGAGTTACATTTTTCTACGGTAGATAATTTGGTAATCCTGAGAACTTTCGACGGCAAAAGAAGAAATCAACGAGCTGCATAATTATCCTGACTTTTTATATGATACACTTCTTGTATAAAACGAAAAGGATGATTATGATAATTGACGCGCGATATAGGATATAACTTAGGCAAGTGTACAATGGAGGTTCAATGATAATTATTCAGCGGAATTGCTCTCTTGGAGAATGCTAAAGTGCGAAATATAGAGTCGTAAAATCGCGCAAAATTGGAGAAAATTGACTTTCAAAAATAAGAAAGGAACACGAGCAAAAAGCAACACTATAGAATCACGACTAATTGGAGATTTGCGCAAAGTTCGTAATATCCCGGGAAAAAATTACATGTAAATTTTGTTTTTATGTGGCCATATATGATCATACGTAATTATAGATGTCCATATTGAAAAGAATGCTATTATAAGTGAACATTTGTAAATTAAACGATTGAAGTAAATATTTATGTTTGTCGCAGTCCATGATGTTGACATTTTAATTGGATGAAACTGTTTCCTTTTATTATTCAACAGCATCTTTTCCTATACGGATCAATCTGCATTAATTATACGAGGTTATATAAGAGGCTATATAGAGACAAAATTGATATATGGGCCATCATTATATATAGGGTGTTTTTAAGTATGTCCAATATTATCCAAAATTAATTTTTGATGTCATATTATGAAGAAAAGTTTATAGGAACATATCGTCTCAGCGGAACTTTTTTTCAACAATATAGCGTATTCAAAATTGTGTAGTTATTTAGTTTAGGGGTGTCAGTTCTAATATCTTTGATCTTGACATATGTTGTTAAGAATATTTTACTGAATAACCTTTAAAAAGCTTTAATCTGCAATTATTTGTTAAATAATTAATAATAATTATTTATTAAAATGTGATAAACAAAAGAAATTTCATAAATAGGATATGTAGTTTTTTTACATTGATTATCCACTTTATAAAAAAGGCATGTTAGCTGCGTGAATTTATTTTATATCGAAGTATTGAAGCCTCTTTTCCGCGATGCTGATTCGCCATCTCGATAGTGAGTGGGAGAGGGTGTAAGAAAGAGGAAAGTGTGTGAGAGAATGAGAATATGAGAGAGAATGGGGGTGAGAGAGAGTGAGAGAGAGGGAGTACGAGAGAGAGGGGATGAGAGAGGAAGAGAGTGTGAGAGAGAGTATGGGAGAGAGATTGTGTGAGAGAGAGAATGAGAGAGAAAAAGAGAGAGAGTGTGGGAGAGAAAGAGAGAGTGTGAGAGAGAAAAAGAGTTTGAGCGTGAGGGAGTGAGGCAGAGAGAGGGAGTGAGAGAGTGTGTGTGAGACAGAGAATATGAGAGAGAGTGTGTGTGTGTGTGAGAGAGTATCAGAGAGAGAGAGAGAGAGAGAGGGGGGGAGGGGAGAGAGAGGGGGAGAGAGGGGAGAGAGGGGAGAGAGGGGGGAGAGAGGGAGAGAGGGGGAAGAGGGGAGAGAGAGGGAGAGAGGGGGAGAGGGGGGAGAGAGGGGGGAGAGGGGTGGGAGAGGGGGAGAGAGGGGGAGAGAGGGGGGGATGGAGAGAGGGGGAGAGGGGGGAGAGAGGGGGAGAGAGAGGGAGGGATAGAGAGAGGGAGGGAGAGAGGGAGGGAGAGAGAGGGGGAGAGAGAGGGAGGGAGAGAGAGGCAGGGAGGGAGGGAGAGGGAGGGAGGGAGAGGGAGAGGGAGAGGGAGAGGGAGAGGGGGGGAGAGAGACAGAGAGAGAAAGAGAGAGAGAGAGAGAGAGAGAGAGAGAGAGAGAGAGAGAGAGAGAGAGAGAAGAGAGAGAGAGAGAGAGAGAGAGAGAGAGAGAGAGAGAGAGAGAGAGAGAGAGAGAGAGAGAGAGAGGGAGAGAGAGAAGGAGAGAGAGCTTAAGATGGTCTTGAATAGAAATTCTAAATGTTGAAATTTTCATTGGTTAGAACGGAATTTGGTTAGACGGTGACGTGTTACTATGCAGGAAATATGTGTTATGGAATTTGAAAATGTATGCTCCTAATACATCATATGTTGGAGTCGGATATTATCGAACTTATATTATACTCCAAGTTTTATTTTTTATTTATAATATGTATTTTTAACTTTACTATGAATATGCTAAAATGGCGCGCACGTAGCGCGCGCTTGTAGTGTTCTAGTATATTAAAAAATAGATGGTGTAGATTTATGAAAAACTGAGTAGCTCTGCCTCTTTTTTCGCTCTTCTGTTCGAACTAAGCTAACTTAACTCAACCTATGTCACTGTGAACGATAAAGGTCAGATTAAGTTAATTTAGTTTGGGAGTTGTTGCGGGATATTTGCGAGGGGGGAGATATGGTACGTATATTGTTTTTATATATTCTATGTAAAATTTTTTATAAAAAAACTGAAGGTTCTTTATAACATCGCTCATAAAAAACTTTTACAAAGTGCAATTATACAATAATAATTTTACCTTATTTATTACGCGCTATTTGATAATCTTTAATAGGATACGACGAGGCCATCATTTCGAAAAGTTTATCAATATATTCGTAGTATTTATATTGAGAAGAGGAATGGTTAAAATTTATAATAGGTTACCAGGGATGATCTCAATAATATATGTTAAGGTTAAAGTTATTGAAGTTGACCTTTTTATAAACTGAATAATTAAAAATTTTATTTTATATAATATAAAATTATTTTTTCTTAATTTCTCTCAAATAAAAAGAGATTTCTTTTTCAAATAGCCGATAAATAAGTAGGATGTTATCTTTATTGTTGACTTACATAACTGCTTTATAAAAACTGCCAGTAGTGTAAAAACGAGGTTTAAGTAGTCCATTATTCTCTCGAACTTGTCAATGGGTGAAATCAAATTTTTTTTCAAATTTTTAGTACTTTATTATTTATCCTATCCTTCAAATTCGTTTTTTTAATTTCGAATTATTATATATTTGAATAAAGACTAAATTCTTTTAAAATTTGCGGGAAAATTTTAAAAATCTTCTAGAGGAAGTTGAAAGATCGAAGGGCTGGAAAATATTCTTTTGAGCTCCAGAGGGGAATTAAGGAAATGAGAAATAGGTACCACTTGTTTTTACCAACCTCAAATCAGGTCATCTGACTGAAAATCTCTTTGAGAAAAAACACTCTTGAGCACCCTGTATATAATAATTTTTTATCGCGGGAACGCATTATTGGCGCACTGCTATGTCGAATAATCCAAGACGAGAAATCTGTCCCTCCATGACACATCAGAGGATATCTATGTAAGTTCCAATCAATCCGGGGCGTTGCGTTCGACTAATCGGTTCACCTTGACGGTGGGTCCGTTTTGTTCGCGCAGGTGATAGTCTCGTCTCCCGGTTCACCTAGCAGCGAGGAATCGGAGGCCTCGCCGGAGCCAATTAACAAGAGCCTTCTGGGAGGTCTGGGATTCGAGAAGAGCGACGAGACAACGACGACGACAATGACGACGACGATGACGAGCGTGTCGAGCGGCATCGGCGTCGGCGGTAGCGCCGGTGTCGAGCAGGTGACGCCGACGAGCAGCGTCGACACTGAAGAGGGCAACCCCCAGCACCCTGAAGAGGGCGAGAAGGGCGTCGAGGGCGACGTCGAGGCGAGCGACGACGACCGGCACCAGCATGTGCCCAAGACGCACTAGTCACGCTAGTACGAGGAAGCCGCGAGGATGTCGATTCTTCCTCGGCAAGGACGAATAAGCGAACGAGCGTACGTCGAAGATTGAGGACTGCTTCGTGACTTTGTATGTAAGGCATTGTCGCTCGTACGGACCTCCGTTTTGCTCTCCAGCAAGACTCAATCGAGTAAGGCAGCATAGTCGTTAATTTCTGGTAGGATCGAATTTTCTCAGTAGGGTCAAATCGTTTAAGTTTCATCGAACGCGTTTGCGGTGCAGGAGGCATGTAGAAGCGGTCCGAGCGAGAGTCTTCTCGGTCTACGTTGCTGATAATCGGCCGATCGATACGTAGCAATCCGTTGTTGAGCATTCCGAACAGGAATCAGGATCGATCGCGGTCCTGGCGGAGTCCATGGCTCATGCTTGCTTGCTTGCGCGAAGGTTTGTTAAAGTTTAAACAAAAAAGAAGCAAAGGAGGAGAGAGAACGGAGACAGAAAGGTGCTTTGAGCTCGGTCGATGTTACCAGATTGTACTAGCATAGAGGATTTCCCGAAGAGCGAATAACGAAATGAAAATCAACGCTGGCGAATTTCTTACTTAAACATCGCGCCTTGGTTTATTGACTTCTGATTGAAGTTGAGTTTCGCTAGAGTTGTGCAAATTGAATGTAACATGATTAGACACAACCACGTCGAACGAGAACGCTACCAGAATGGTCTCGAGCAACTGAGGAGACGCTGGCCCGTACAACAAACCGCAGGACAAATTAGGATTCGAAAAATGACACGCGTATCCTTCCCGCAAGTGGCCGACGCAAACAAGCGCTGTAACGCTGAGGAAACGGTTTCCATGCTGGAAAGTCGAGGTTGCAGAGAATGAGAGACAACCGAAGCAACCGAACACACGTTCAGTCCCCTGCACGTCGCGAGAGTTTCTTCAAGTAGTCGTTTCACGGTCTGTCGAGTGTCCCTCGAGAAAGAAACGGTGGATCACAGACGTAAGATACCTTGTGCACAACAAAAGAAGTAAGTTGTTCTCTTTTAGAAGTTGCCGCATAAAGACGGGGAGAAAAGGAAAGAAAGAAGAAAAAGAAGAAGATATAGGGGTGAGTGGAGAGACGGACGAGATCCTTCCGCATCGTCGCGATCTTTGTCATCGACATCATTATCGTCACGAACACGACCCACACAACACACAGAACACACAAAACGCGAGCGCGAGCACGAACACGTGGTGGGCTGGTCAACGAAGAGGAGGCTCACGTGGCATACATAATGATCAGTTTATACGCGACATATTATAAATATATATATATAAATATACATATATATATATATTATATATACATACATAGACTAGTCACGATATTACGTGTGCTTTTGATAAAAAACTATTACTTGTAGCGTCAATAGCTAGCCCTCGTATACAGGAGAAAGATGGAGTCACATGAACAAACAAACAAACAAACAGTTTAACAAACAAGCAAACAAACAAACAAACAAACAAGTCGACAAAACTGACAAACTAACAAACTTAATTAGACGATATATATATATATATATAATATACATAAAAGTGCGTATATATATATACGTTGGGAAGGCGTGAAGACACGACGGCGTTTCCGCGTGTCGACAATACAACGCGTACATAAGGCGGAATTGCTGGGACATGTCGCGCCGCGGGTATCGATATAGTGCCAGCTGGCTGGTCGCCGACCGACCGACCGGCCACTCTATCAGTACTGATCGGACAATCGGTTGTCCCAGACTGGGTCACGGGGACGTTGGTTGGAAGACGTGGGAGAGTGGTTGCTGCGCTAGAGGAATTCACCGAAAACGATAATAATTACGAGTAAAAAAAGAAATGTTACGATTAATTAACTATACTTTTAAAGAAAACAGAAAGAGAGAGAAAGAGAGACAGAGATGTAAGACGAGTAAAAATAGCCAGTATTATTATACGTCTAAACTTAAAACGACGATCGCGAGAGGGAGAGAAAGAGAGAGAGAACGCGAGCAAGAGCGAGTGAGTGAATGAGTGAGTGAGAGTGGGAGAGAAAGTGAACACGAACGAATTATCTAACGTAAATTAACGAAATGAAAGGAGAGAGACAGGAGTATATAGCGGGGTATGAGGGGGGGGGAATGTAAACGATCGTCGCGATTGTTGAGAACAATCGTGCGGCGGCGAGATCGCAACGGAACCGCGAGCGGACGCGACATCATCATCATCGTCGTCGTTGCCGTAATCCTCGTTATAATAACCATCACGCTATCGTCGTTTCTATCATCGTTACTCGATCTCGCTCGCGGCTCCGTTCGGCGACGAGAGAGAGAGAGAGAGAAAGAGAGAAAGAAAGAGAGAGAGAGAGAGAGAGAGAGAGAGAAAGAGAGAGAGAGAGAAAGAGGGGGGAGAAATAAAACATATAAAAGGGAGGCACTGTAATCCGTATAAACACGCAGATATAAATATATATATATATACATACATACATATATGTATATACATAGATACATATATGTATATACATATATATACATATACATAGATACATATATATATACATATATATACATATACATATATATATATATGTGTATATATACATATATAGATACACATGTAACTTTCTTCTTTCCGCAAGTTAACGTTATCGAAAGGCGTTGTATTCGAGGGTTATTTTGGGCGAACCACAAGAACTCTGGACGGGGCAGGAGAGTGGAGGGAGATAACATTTTCACTGAAATGGTCGCGCGAAACCGAAACTACTTGTATAGTTGAGTTTGTAACGTATGTATATATATATATATATACACACATATATACAGGGTGTTTGATAACTGATCATGCAGACGAAAGATGGAGATAGATTGGGTGTAGCCGAGAAGAAAAGTCATGTACCATAATGTTAAATTGCCAATAGTTACCGAGTTATTAATTAAAACATGTGAGCCAACGAGCGCGTAGAGAGCGGAGGACGGCCGCAGTAAGCACGTAGACATTTGATACAGGCGGAGTCAGCGAGTGACGGTAAGCGAGCGCGCGCGGCGAGGGGCAACGTAAGCGACAAGAGGCGATCGCGCGCGACGAGGAGCGAGCGAGAGCTTTTTCTTTATAGCTTTTTCCTTATAGCTCGCTCGCTTCTCGTCGTTCGCGTTCGCTCGCTCTTCGTCGCACTCGCTCGCTCCTCGTCGTTTGCGCTCGCTCGCTCCTCGTCGTTCGCGCTCGCTCGCTCCTCGTCGCGCGCGTTCGCCTCTTGTTGTTTACGTTGCCCCTCGCCGCGCGCGCTCGCTTACCGTCACTCGCTGACTCCGCCTGTATCATGTCTACGTGCTTACTGCGGTCGCCCTCCGCTCTCTACGCGCTCGTTGGCTCACATGTTTTAATTAATAACTCGATAACTATTGGCAATTTTACATTATGGTACATGACTTTTCTTCTCGGCTACATCCAATCTATCTCCAACTTTCGTCTGCATGATCAGCTATCAAACACCCTGTATATGTATATGTATATATATGTATATACATATGTATGTATATATATATATATACATACATATGTATATATATATATATATACATATATATATATGTATATATATATATATACATATATATACATTCTAACGAATTGCCCGTACGCAATATTTTACATTCTGCCCTAACAAGCGTGTGACTGTCGTTCGGTGTGCGTGCGTAGCGAGCGAACGCCGGGTACCGGAGTGCTTCTCTTTCGTTCACTCGCCGCTGGGTCTTTCCGCTCCAGCTGGCTGAGAGAAAAATGGCGGATCGGTGGAACTTGCGAGAGGAGGGCGTTCGTCAATTCGTCAGTTCCTCGTTCTCTTTTCATTTTCGATCGAACCACCCGGACTAAAGTCGCACTTGTATCGTGTGCATAACTTTGACGTCTCGCGAAAATCGGAGGACCGGAAGCTTCGAGAAGTAATTGCCTCGGAAAGTCGAAATCTCGAAATTCGAGAATTGGGACAATTTCCCGGAGAGTCAAGAGGCCGAAATTCGAATATTCAGACAATATCCGGGGATATAATTTTCTCGAAGGATATTACTATTCTTCCCGCATTGAAGGAACGGTATTCGAGGAGGGACTATTACCCTGAAAATAGTACAAACAAATGCATTAATTTTTATTCATTTGAGTGCACTCTTAAGCCCGTATTAGACTATGGATTGGGATTGAGATTGGAAAAAAGAAAATAATCTCAAATATAGTAAACTTAGCCTTGATTGGTTAAATTTCAATCCAATCCAATACTCAATCTCAATCCGTAGTCTGGATACGGGCTTCACTGTACTCGAAGGAGTGCTAATGCACCTGGTTGTAGAACGAGACAATTCCAATATGTTGAAAAGATTGTCAACAGACTGTGTTTCACGCTATTGTTTCATCACTCGGATTTTGGTTTCATGTCTTTTAAGGATGTTGTCCTGTTTTTTAAATTTCGACATATTTTTTTCGGGACGACAAATGTCCACCGAAGTATTCCAGCGAAATTGTTTATTTGCGATCGAATAATGTTCGAATCACACATGAGAATGCTATTTTTCATCGTGAATCTACGCTCGCGTTGCATCGAGCTCCTCGATCATGCGGATTCTCTCCTCACAATTCATCATTATTTCGCTCATGCTTCGTTCGTTTCAAACCGTTGCAATGGCAGAGTGTGTCGCGAATGCATTCTCCAGTTCGATCGACTCGTTAGACCGAGACGTCATCACATAGTTCCTACCGTTTCTAATCGTGTTCGCGAAGGAATTGAGCGATCTCCGTAAATCTCAAGCAAACTTTGAACATTCGGAATCGTTGCTGCCCGTCGCGTTATTACAGTCGCAGAGTCAGCGATTTTGCGTTGTTATACAAAGAAATCGAAGTTCGCGTCATGCTGCGAATGGCCGAATGACGTTCACGTCGCTGACGAGCAATCTTCTCACGACATTATCAGCACCTTGGAAACTGTGCGGTCCGCAAATTCGCTAAAACTCGTGTCGCCTTGACTTTTCGATACGACTATCCAATCGGCACATCACATTAACATCACAAAGGAGAGATAGACACAGACACGAAAACGGTATCCAGTGTTCCTCGCCGTCCTGATTATAACGACGAATCGATTACACGTCAAAGAAGAATGAAACGGAGGGAGAGGTGGGGAGGGAGAGGGAGGGAAAAAAAGTGCGTGATTAACATTAATTATTATACGTGAAAGCACACTGCCGCAATTTTATATAATTGACTGTTGTTATACCTATACCTACATACATATATATTATATACATAAATATATATATACATTATATATACATTAATCGAGACTTAACAAATCGCGACACGCGTGTCGATCGTAATGAGTCCGGAATATTATGGCCACAGTGTGAGTTAGATTAAGTTTCATCCGTCGACGCGCGCAGGTTAGGTTAGGTTCACTTTTCGTCCGGAATTGCGACAGACGAGAGAGATCCCTTCGAAGCCGACGATGGTCATGTTTGGTCGCCATTGGATCCCGCGAGTTCATGTCGTTCCGGAGGAACGACGAAATATCGACGACTTCGAACACTCGCTCAAGTATCTATTACACGTTCGCTTATGCTGGATGTTGTCGGACCCCCGCAAATATCCCAGAATACCCGAGAATAAGCAGGAAGAACGGAAACAGTATCGTGAATAGGTATCGAGGACTGTCCAAGAACAATCACTGAATAATTTCATTGTTGCATTATCCGACTGCCCAGATTGGCGAGTATCGAAAGATATCGTTAGCGCGACAAATTTCGGCGAGGCGCACGAATTCCTCATCCTCCCCTTCGGGGAGGAGGAGACGTGCAGCTGAACAATCTGGCGGGCGTGGTGCCGCCCGGGAAATCAATAACACGGTGGAGAAGCTCGTCGAGGTGTATCATCCACGACCAAACGGCAATCACTTTTCGAGAACAATCAGGTTGAATGTAACCGCGTCGTTCTTCGAGAGTTCTCGCATCGCTCGCGAAGGACATAACCCCTTGGTCTGAAATTGAGCTGAGAGCGAAAGAGCCGGAACGAACATGGACGACAGATCGCAGCAATTCGTGCTCTAGACTTCTCCACGATCGATCTCCATACTTTTCTTTGGCTGCTACTTGCTTTTGTTCCGTATTTTCCTTCGATATCGAGATAGCGGCAGCGAGAAGAAAACATCACCGAGAGGCGTCTCGTTGCGAGTTCAGCCGACCGGGAGAATCGGTGGATTCAGAACTAGAAGCAGAGACAAAGAGAACGAGAGGGAGGGAGGAAGGAAGTCATCTGGCGAAATTTGGAGAAGTTGAGTGAACAAATTGGAGGAACAAGTGTCACAACGAAATTCACAGGACTCGCTTGGCAACTTGGTCAGCGTAAAGTGTGTTGAAGAGACGAACTGTTGGCACGAAGTAGTCAGAGGGAGAGAACGGAACGAGAATGGTGGAGTACGAACGAGCCAAGGAGCGTCGTAATGTCGACACACACACACACACACACATACATACACATACACATACAAATATGATAAATAAAAAGAAATAATTCCTTAACGTGCTCGCGCGTTACCTGATTCTCTCCTGTGTCATAGCGCGTTTCATTGGCTGATTACCGTTGTTTCACTTGCAGAAGCATTCGTGTTGAACGGACCTACGGGCTTGTATTCTCGATCTCTAGAACTCTACTCGATCGCAAGCGCATTGAGAATAATTACACGTCGGATTCTTTCTTCACACACACACACACACACACACACACACACACACACACACACACACACACACACACACACACACACACACACACACACACACACACACACACCACGCGCGCGCACACGCACGCACACACACACACACACACACACACACACACACACACCACGCGCGCACATGCACACGCACACGCGCACATGCACATGCACACGCACACGCGCACACACGCACACGCGCACACACACACACACGCACATACACCACACGCGCACACACGCACACGCACACCACACGCGCGCACACGCACACGCATACACACATACACACACCACACGCGCGCACACGCACACGCACACGCACACGAACACGCACACGCACACGCACACGCACACACACACACATACACACTGTATTCGCGCTGATCCGATGATTGACAACGAAGAGCACGATTTTACCGATGATTGAACGAGTTTTTTATATCGTTTAGATTACGTGTATCCTCGGTGAGAATCTGTCGCGCGTGTTTCGTTGGTCTCGCTTTGTTTCCATTCTGGCGACCAATTGAGAGATACCAATCGTACCAAATAGCATAATTATCGTTAGAATCGATTCGATGATTACAATTCAGCGGTGTTACCTTCTAGATGCAACGCAGAAATCCTCGGACGAGATAATCGATTTGCAACTGCGAGAGACAGGCAGGACGCACAAGTACACACGTTTCTATAACTTAATTCTATAATATGTAGCATTG